CTTCATCCTGCGGCGACACCACTGGTTCTCTCTGTACACATCCGGCCAGCCTTTGTTGCAGCTGGGCAATCTCCCTTTGTAGGTCTTCTATCACGACTTCTTGAACCGACCTTTGAGGATTCCGGCAAGTCGGAATCTTGCCGGCTCTGATACCACTTGACACCGGACGCTACCCGTCACAGGGACGAATAGAGCGGATGCTGCAAGAAGAACCTCAAGTTCTTCGGTAGCAACTCCTTCACGCACCACCTAAGGGAATTATGCAACGGGGAAGAGGAGGACCACCACCTGACGAGAAGGTCAGGGTACAGACAAACCCAGTGGAAAATGGATGAAACACAAATCAAATCTCTATCTTATTCAGGAAGTAATCACCTGGTTATATACAAGTATGTGGATGCAAGAAAAAGGCAAAAGCAAATAAAACTTCCAGCTATACAAAAGCTACACAAACAAATAAAAGCTGAAAAAAAAGACTGCTATAAAATCTGAAGTTGCTAGAATTGTGTAGCAGATATCAGCACTAAACTCCAGCGTCAACGTGCCTAACTAAAATATGCAATTTCAGTTGTTTGATATAAAAAAAGCATCGAAATCACAAAAATCACAACTAAACATAAGCACATATTCCAAATCTTATAGGAATGTGATATGCAAAAACATAAAGAGGATACGTTTAAGTAGAAAATATTCACTTAATTAATGAGCAAATTATTGGCGTAGAATTGAAATAAAGCAAGAAGTCAATATCTTCTTTTTTGTACTTCAAGTTTATACATGTCATACTTTCCCAAAGGAATTAAGAAAAAATATACTAACAATTTCATATTTTAAGCTTCGTTAGGTAATGTTGGGTGTTCTTGGTTGTGGTGTACTTTGCATGTTCACTGGTTAAATTACTGTGGGCTCCGAAAATTCGGCCCCGGCCTCCCAGCTCGCTTTTTTTTCTTTTTATTCGGCGAGGGAGTTTTAACTGAATAAGTTCCGGGGTAAATTTTGGAAGGCAGATGGGTTTGTAGATAAGACACTACCCAGAGATTTTGCCCTCATTTTGTGAGGACTTTATGATCTAAGTTCTGGTTTCCTATAGGCGCAAGCCCCTATAGTTAAGTACCCCTCTCGATCACGAGAGAGAACTTTCGATTAAGGCTAGTCATTGATCAGATACGTAGAGATACATGTTATCCGGCATATAGTAGCAGCAATGGGTTTGGATTTGGAAATTTGGAAAATTGGTTGGGAATTGAAAAGTTTGATATTTAAATAAGAAATTTCACCATCTTTCACTTAAAGCGGATGGTGGGGGAACGGATAATGGACCTAATCAAGATCCCATGGTTCCGTCATCCCGGGCCATCGTGGTCCCTGGTCTACTTAGTCAGAGGAGGTAGTCGACCCAACCTGACAGAAGGATCCTTATCGGCAGCCATGGGTTGCTTCGTCCAAGGGAACCTTGTAGACCGGGGTTGAATGTTTGTCTAAGGGGACAAATTTGAATCCACCTTAGCTAACAGAGGGCTTTGTGCCCTATCGATCATATCCTATTGATTCATATATCAAGGATTTAACGCCATTAAGGAGCGTATTGGCTCTGGCCATAACCGCTATCTGTGGTGCCATTTGACGGCAAAACCACTCGGTTCAGAGGGCCCCGGGTCATAACCGTTTACCTGCAGTGCCATTTGGCGGCGAAACTGCCGGTTAGAGGACACGTACCACGTCCTTACTGACAAGAGATTGTTTGAGAATGGATCCTAGTGATATTTTCGACTAGACATTCGGCTCTTTGTGAGCTAGAGTTTATTTGAATTTGTCCGCCTCGACAAACTGTTACGGAGGGCGAATGGATTTTGCTTTAACTGCGTTGATGGATTTATTTCAATTTTAAATATTTTTGAACTTTTGGGATTTGTGGATTTTTTTATTTTATGGAGTTTTGGGTTTTGAATGGATATTT